TTGGAAAATACTTAACAATCTCTCTACACCAGTTCAGAGAATGAGTATAAATCCTCTTTCCAGCAAATGGAGACAGGTAATTTATTGCAGCCTTGAAGAGAGCAGCTTATTTCTCCACGCTTCCTGCCCAGCAAACTCTGCAAGCTGACTTATGGAGGGATGGGAAGCCAGAAACTGTGCTCCGTCTTTCCTATCCGCTTCTGGAAGGCAGAGCAGCAGTGGAGTGGGGGCTGCGCTCGTGTAGATGCCGTATTAAAGCTTCCCAACCTCCCGCTTTCTCTCCCCTGTGCCATATGTTTTGGAGAGGGTATTCTCTCTACCTGCTTCCGAGCAGAGGCTGGTACCACAACTGGCAGTGGAGATGGTTTCAGTCCATCTCTGGTGCTCCTTTCTCCCCCTCTAACCCCATGTGTGGGACTGTGTGGCCATTAGAGCTGCAGAAGAGATACCGAGGATGTTACTGGTGCGTACAGCCGGTATTGATCCCCGGAGGGACCGTCACGTGGCCTAGTTTTGAGCTGTGACCTTGGTGCCTATGCATATATTTAACGTTACATGTGTGAGCTATCCCACGAAAGCCAATGGACTGCTCACGTGTGTGAAGTTAGGCATGTGCTAAAGTGTTTTGCCAGATTGGATACTGTGTCTATAGGGGTTTTGGGTGAACTTGAACCTGTTTTGTTGGGGTGAGAGGCTTTAGATTTCATTATTAAGAATCTGATATGTTACTCTGTCTGAGTGCAAGGTCTTGGAGTTATCTGAAATTCTCATTAAGACAAGAAGCTAGGGAAAATACAAATTCCTCCACCAGTAAAGTTACTGAAAATACTATAATTAAATTATCTAAGTCTTAAACCCAGTAAAATATATTGAGAAAGTGTGGTGGAGGTACAAGTACAGTGTTCTGAGAGTACCGAAGGGACTAAGAGCACTTTCTCTGCAGATCTTGAGCTGGAATATTTGGAGTAGTTAATGTAGCTGATGTAAAAAAGCATGTTGCGTTTGCCCTACTCTTGATTCATAGGCTGTGACCCTTAATAAATTTTGATGTTGCACACAGTGGAGCTGTTGCTTTCAGAGAAAGCAAGGAAAGTAAGCAGGCAAGCAAGAAAGAAAAGGACCTAAAGAATGAACAAACAAGTTCTTTCATAAGATATTTCTCAATTGAGATTATTTCTTATTAGGCTTAAGTTGTTCAGGTTCATCATGTATCGTATCTGGCAGTAGTCCTGCAAGTGGGGTTTTGAAAAATGGAGCCAACTCTGTCTGGTGTTAAAAGCATAAGAGCAGTTTGAAAATGTATTTTCTGGAATATATTTCTGAGTAAAATATATTTTGTAAAAGAAATTCTATTATTGATATTTTAGAATACCTGGAAGAAAGACTTGTTTTACAGCCTGATACCATAACATAGAGCTCAGAAATTTGCTCAGAGAGATGAAAAAAAACCCCACAACCTAAAATGCAATCATGACTCATAATGTTTCCATGAAATACTAAAAAAAATACTGGACTGCTTTCTTGTTTGTGTTGTTTTTTTCACATCAGTAGACTTAAGCCCACGTACCCTTGTCGACATGGTCTGAGCAGACTGATGCAGGTGAAAGACACTTGGCTGGTAGAAATCCCTTACTTAGAGGAGAAGAGCTGGAGCAAACGCTGTCCTGCTGCTTTGCTAATCCTCCTTTGGGATGCCACCCCTGACAGTGACTCCGCTGACAGTGATTGCTCCCCTTCTGGGTCTTTTGGGCCAGGTCACTGGCAAGGCTGTGCGCTCTTGATAGCCTCTGAGGTGTGGAGCCTGTCCACTTGGGAATTGTGCAGGCCACCAGGCAGATGGTGCAGGGTAAAAAGTATTTATTGAGATGCGTTTGAACCTTTCGCTTCCCTGAGGCTCTTTCTGAGGTGGAAAAATAGCAATTGGACATGGCGAAAGGTATCAGAAGTCAGCCTTTAGTAATGGGATGGTTTGTTGAGCACGGCACTCCTGTGGTGTGTTGCACAGTTAAGCAGGCAACAACTTCTCAGATGATACTGTCCTCGTTTCCTTCAGGAGACACGTTGGCTTTCCGTTTCGAATTCCTCATCTCCTAAAAGTGGATGAACAGTGCTGTTTCACTACTTGCCTCCCAAGGTTTAATTACTAAATGGCTGCACTGTGCTTTGAGCATGCTCATTTGCTATGCAACTAGACAGTGATATTATTTCGTTAGTAGGCACAAGTGTCTGAAGCCTTGCTCCAGTACGGAGTGCTTGTACTGGTAAGGTGCTGTGCCCTGGCTAAGGGGCATCGCCTGCCCCACCACGCTCTTGCTCTTTGTCAGGATTGCAGGGTACGGTCTGAGCGTGGGCAGGTGGATGCTTTGCAGAATCCATTGATGCCACTGGAGTGAAGATCGTTCACACTGGCCGAGTGTCTTTCCCTGTTTCTAACTGCTGGTCGCTGTGATCTGACGGAGCTGAGGGAAGGAAGAGAAAGGCTCGAATACTAAAAGCAGAGAGTTGTGTTTGGCATGCATTCCTTATCTTGGGATGAGATCTTGCAACCTGGATGTCACTGACAAAATCCCAGGTACTTTGGCTGGGCTGCTGAATTCTACCCATGCAACTGGTAGGTGATGTTTTCAGGAGAGCTTAAGTACTGTCTTCAAAATTTGGTTAAACTTTTAGGAATGGTCTTTATGAGTTAAGGCTCCTAGGTGCCTTAACCATTTTTCAGCATGAGTTGTGAGACTGTAAACTCTCTGGTCCTGTTGAAAAATATGTTCCCAGGCAACACATCTGTTTACATTTGAAGATTAATCCAAATATATATCTACAGAGTGCTGCCACGCTTTTCAATCACATTTGCGTTTTTGTATCTAAAAATATATGTTTTCACATGCGCAATTATTCCATGGAGGCCATTTGCAGTAATTACGTTTAGACTTACAAAAGTCCTGTCTGTGAAGCACAGAGTCAAGTTAGTAGGAGATTGGCATGCCCTCTGGGGTGCCGTTATTACTTTACCAGCCATGAATGGTGAAGAATTTGCTTCCCGTTGTATATTTGACAATGAAACCCTTCTTAAATTCTTCCTCAGAGCCAAGTACAAGGCTGTCTTTTAATAAAAAATGTGTTTTTACCCATGTCTATATTTATTTCTTGCAGTTTTGCACATGCTGCTCCAAGAGCCACCCACATCCTTCTTGTATACAGGGTGTATTTGCATTTGCAGCCTGTCTCAGTGCAAACATGGGAAGGGGGAAAAATCCAACCTCATTTTTACTGTTAGTTGCCTTCTCCATCCATAGAATTACTTGGAAATTATCTTGATCACTCATTCAATTAAAATCTGTGGTATTACCTTTTCTAGAAATAAGTGCCACGTAGGTAAGACTATGATTAGGTTGTTATTTTTGAAATCTCTATACTAATTGTTTGGGTCAAGAGGAAGAAAAGAATTGTTTTGGTTTTGACATGCAAATCAGGTTGTCCCTTGAGTTCTACTTTTTGTTCTGCTGTCCCAAAGTAGGATAGCCCTTGAGCATGAGCTTACTTTTAAGCATGTGCTGAAATCTTTGGGAATTGGAGGGGATGGGGCATGTGCTTAATGCTTTTTTGAACAATGTTGCTTTTCAGAGTTGAAGGCTTTGTAGGAAACCTGATCCTTTAAACTAGCTCCTGTTTATGTACATTTCAATTTTATAATATTGTAAGTTTTTTCCTTCTTTCTTCAATATCCTCGATGCTACATCATGTAATGAAAACAATACTGGTCACGCCACTTGCAATTACTGGAGTAGGCAGTGAAATTATTTTTTTGTGAAGGAACTAGGGAAATCACATAAATCACAGGTTTGCAAATGTTTTCCCAGGAGAGGTCCGCAGTAGTTGGCTGCATAGAATGACAAAAGTGTTGTTTACTCATAAAAGGGTGGTCATCTCAGCAGGTCAGTGATGTTTTTCAAAGACTTATTGTAGATTTTAAAGTAGCTGGTAATTTATTCCTTGAACTCTGGCTTAGAAAAATAAAGCAAGGTAAATATTGAGTATAATAAAGGCCATGCTGCCATTCAGTATGCACAATGCCTTCACCTGCCCTCTCCCACCAGCTTCTCTCCATTGTTGGCTTCTGCATTTCTCATAGGCATGAGCTGCCCTCCACGATTACTTACGGCATTGCTCAGATAAGCCCTTTTTTCACAGGCAGCACACATACACACACTCACAAGGGCTGTTATAATTTGCAAGTTCAGCTATCACTTCCTCTGTTCCCACCCTGCCTTTTGGAAAGATACCCAGTCACACGATGTGCTTGAAAAAAGGTTGCTGATTGAGGAAGGATGCAGGAAGGATATGGTTTTGCAGTGATTGCATAAGTGCCGTGTAGGACCCGAAAGCCTTGGGTGTATATGAGGACGACTTTAGATGTGAATTTCAAAGATTTATTTCTTCCGATTTTTAAATAAGTCATAACTCCTGAGCAGTTTGCCTGCTTTAGAGAACCATGGAGCAAGCTGTGTTAATGTGATCCTCCATGTATTAACATGGACAAATCGGCACACTGGATTCCCTGCCTCCGTTCCATCAGAGATCTCAATCTTATTTCAGAGAAATTGTCTCCAAAGCTTCTGTTTGAAATTGTCAGATGCAATCATGTCTAAGCAAATGTACTTCCTATCAAAATCTTTTGGGAGTTTTGCCATTTGTCTTGGATGGAGAGTACTAAGGCTAACACAGAGATCCTTCCAAAAGATGCTGTGTTCTCCCTCAGTGAAGTCCTAAGACCTGAAGACCCTAAAACTTTGTGTCACCCATTACTGTAATGAGAGTGTATTTATTGCTATAAAATGAAGCAGCTGGAGCATGGAAGTTTGTATTTTAAAGCTTTGTTTTGGTCATTCCATGTTCTGCCAACATCTAACATCTGTATTTGTTTTTTGAACTCTCCTTAATGGATTATATGCATCTGTTCAGTTCCAAGAATAATGCTTGATTTCCTGAATTTATAGGTTGCAATAAAATCCATTCGTAAGGACAAAATTAAGGATGAACAAGATATGGTTCACATCAGACGGGAGATTGAGATCATGTCATCCCTCAGCCACCCTCATATCATCACCATATATGAAGGTTAGTGACTGCAATTCTCCTGCCTGACTGCTCTGTTACGTTCTTGCAGACCTGATAGTCATGTTTCTTGAGATCATGCACCAAACAAACCCCTACTCCTAGTGTAACCTATTCCTTACTAAAGAGACTGTTTTGACCACTACCTTCCTTCTGAACCATTAGTGTTTCACTGATGCATAACACTTTGCCTGGAGGAACTTCATGCGTGACTTAAGCGCTGTGCCCATTGCAGGTGGGAAATCGTTGCATGTATCACCTCATCTCCTTGCTCCCGTTGGACAGTTCGGTTTAATTTCACCCTCACTCACGCACCAGCCCAATGTCCACTTATGCCTTCGGCCCTTAAACCAGTCCTGGTATGCTATATTTTCCCTGGACCACACAAGAGCAGTCTCATCTGCTCTAGGCCTTTGGTCCTCCCTTACCTGCCAGTTAGTCTTGCTGGTTCTGTCATTGCTCCTTTTTTTCCCTGAATCCTAGCATCCGCTTCCTATCCACCTCTGCATGCTTTCCTGTCAGTCTGGTTGCTGGCTTATCGTTCCTGTTTCCTCATCCTGTCTTCCCCCTCTAACTCCTTTCTTCCTGGGACACAGCCAGGAAATCTGCTAATTCCTGCCTCTGGGAGCTGCTCCCTGGTCCCACAGCCTGGAGCAGGAAGCCAGGGGCATTCCTCCCTGATTTGCCTGTTTGTTTGTTTATATATTTATAGAGTGTCACTCTGTAATAAAATCTCCTCCTCCTTCCTTCCTTCCTTCCTCCATCCTTCCCCCAGTAACATCCCAGCTCTAGCAGGGATGTTCAGGCTGGGTATGTGCTAAAAGACACTGCCTGAGAGGTCTGCTGTCTGTGAGGAGGGTGGTGCCATGGTGGACATGGGGATTCCAGAGGTTCGGAAGGACCCAGATCGGGCAGCCTTGTCCCCACGGATCAC